TTTTCCTCTTAACTTTCTCTCTCTGACTTCTCTCTTCTTTCCCATTCATCCATTTAATTACTGTTTCTTCATTTCACTTCTTTCAAACAACTCCCCCCGCCCCGCGCCATTGGTCTCAAAATTTATTACAATGTATTCCCAGCCATTGTCAGAGCATGCCTCTTAATCAACTTAAGGGAAGCTCAAACTCAGGAAAAGAAATCTATAAGCGCCTTCAGCCGACTTCTTCGAACCCGTGAGAAGCTTCCGAACTTGGCTACAACGCAGCTTCTCTCGGTGGAAGCTCTTGGTCCGCTCAGGGGATTTTCCTTCCAAGCAGATCTGAACAGAACGCAATCAATATACCCCTAAGAAAGTGCCTGAGGTCTGCGGGACGTCGATTTAATGTCGATTTACTAAATAAGTGAACGGAGCATCTGTCTCTTTTTTTACTTCGTAAAAAACATTAATTTATAGGAGCATGGAAGGAGCCCAAAACAATCATTTAAAACAGAGGATAACCTTTTTTCCTTCTTCTTCCAATCCTGCGTATTACATTCAAACGGGACATGCGCTTTATTGATTTCTATGAATCTTTCAAGTCCTTCTTGATTAATAAGGGGGTAATAAGAATTTGCCTAGATGGCTCTTGATGGGAGAAGTAAGGAAAGCTCAGGACGACGGGAGGAAGTAAAGGCCGAATTGCCCTGCAGTATAGAATCAGGCAAGCTGTCACTCCGGAAAGCCGAAGGGCTCAGATCCAGCAGCTACCTCGCTCGCTTGCTGGGTCTGCGTCAGGCGAGTGCGAGGTTCTTTTTCGCTCCGCTTCTCCTCTCCTCTCCTCTCCTCTCCTCTCTCAGGGGATCTGATGGTCCTTCGCTCCGTTGTTTCTGGCCCGGACTTTTTCTCGGAAACTCCGCAGCAGCAACCGCAGCAGTTTGCCGGGGAAATGCCTCTAGAGCCGCGTTTGCCTCGGCAGAGCCGAAGCTGGGGGGGATCCAAGAAGTGCGGAAAAAGCAAGTCCATGTACCCGCATTGCTGCGTTAATAGCCAGGTTAACTGTCGCCGTCTGATTAAACACAATGTTATGGAAACCAACTGCTGCTTTATTCCTTTCGCATCAGAGAGGTCGTTCCAAAGTTTAGCGATTAGCAATACAAATCCTAAAGTAAAGGTGTTTAATTTAAAAGGAAATGAATCCCGGCTCCTCCTCAACAACCTGATCTGGTGTTATGGCAAGAAATCCCGCCGCCTTTCCCTTAAATGCAGTGGGGCTGCACACATTCGTTGCGGGTAAACACTCCTGTGTAGAGGACCGCTCTCCTTCCAAGGAACCATGCTAGGATCCGGGTGTAAATTGACTTAATGCCTCAACCGGAAAATCGGGATCAAGCCAAATGCTTGGATTTAACCGAATTGCGAATTGCCGGTGGGGGCTCCAAATGGCTTCCTTGCGTTTACTGCTCTCCTGACAGCCATCTGCCATACTAAGGGCAAGTCAAGCTCCCTCAGAAACCAGGGCAAAGTCCTCAGGTGCCTGTAAATAATTAAGATTGCACTCACTGTCCTTTCTCTCTTTAATGAGACTTAAAATCGGGCCATTCCAGATTTAAACAGGGGCATGTTGCAGGCCAGGCTATGGGTGCTATTGACTATCTTTATATGGGGCAAATTTAGCATTTGCCCATTTGCTGTCATAATTGGTTGTTTATTTTCATTAAACGCCCCATTTCTACACAAAGATTCCCCTGCATTCACACGTGTGAAAAGACATTCATTTCAGATTGGCTTGTTTGGCCAAAAGAGATAATGACAGTTATAGGGTAAGGCTGCTCTTCTGGGATTTCAGTAGAAATGGGAAGGCTTTCCTTTGGATCCCTGTGTATTGAGAAGCAAAGGCCTGACACACACACACTGCTTTTCTCCCATTGAGCCAAAGGTTACAGTGTAGGCTTTAGTGGCAGTGGAAACTTGGAGTTAGATTTAGCCACCATTTAAAATGAATCAGTGAAGTAAATGGGACTTTTTCCCACCTTGATTCAGTGAGTTCTCTGTGAATGAGATTCAGAAGTTGAATTTCATTCATTTAATTTTGAATCTAGTGAATGAGTGGCAGTCTTAATCTAATGCCGAATTAACAGCAAGGCTTCTCTTGCTGGCAGAAAATGTGTAGATTACTCTAAGAATCCTTACTCAGCACCTCTAAGAATGCTTACTTGGGAGTAAGTCCCACAGCTAAACATGAGCCCTACCACAGTCCACTTTAAGGTCTGCAGCTATCACACTTTGTCTCACTTCAGCCTTTGGCTGTGACCCTTTGAGGAGTGGGTAGCCGTTAGATCAAGCAGCAATCTTGAAATAAAACAGGGTGCCCATATTGCAAAATCCAGAGTTGGTGTGCAAAGACCTCTTCTGTTTTGGCTGGATTTTTGTTTGTTTCCTCCTGCTGCTGCTGCTCTTTCTCATGGACCAGAACCTATACAATTATTTTATGTATTCCTCAACTTCTTTCCCATTTTCAGGTCACAGGTAAGCTGTAATTTTCCTTTCAGGATTTTTTCTCTAAGCAACAGATACCAAGAAACTTTTATTCTTGTATAGTTCTATGACTATGATCAGAAAGCATTAAGCCCATATGCTGGGTAAAGCAACAGAAACAAAAAAAGTTTTCATTCAAGAATTCTCCGGATAAGTGTGATTATTTGATCTATTGCTCCCTTTATGTTAGGGACTATTTCAACCTTGCTCTTCTTCCCAAGAATGCAGGTGAGAAAAAAAAAATCTTTCTCCCACATATTGATCCTGCCTTAGGGACAAGGCTAGATGTTGCCTAGGTTCAAATATCTAGTTTGTGCATGAAATGAACTTTTCTCTCCCTCCCCTATGCTCAACATTTCATATGCACAAAAATTACATATGTATATTAATTTTTATCAAGACTTTGTTACCTATCATACTTCAGAAAATTCAAGCCATGAAAGCCAGCTGGGTGCATTCTTTCTCAGCCCAACCCACCTCACAGGGTGGTTGTTGTGGGGAAAATAGGAGGAAGGTGTGTTAGATATGTTCACTGCCTTGAATTATTTGTAAAAATAGTAAAATGCATGCATTTTTTAGCCTAACACTACTGTTGGGTCAAACATGTTTTCCTCATGTTTTCTGGCCACACTAATAATAGCAGTCATAAAGTAGCTGCTTGGATGTGCCTTGTATTGTTAAATACAAAAAGTACAAGCATATGCTGAAATATATTTTTTTTAGCAGAAACGTAAAAATTAAGACCTTGAGGTGCTGTTGAAAAGATTCAATTACTTACCCAGGAAGAGGCAGCTGATTTCAGGTAGGGATACCAGACAGACCAAAAAGCCTGAGGAAAAAAACATTAAGATTAAAATAATTTTAGGCAAGAAAGGCATTAATTCATGGCTCAGGTCAGCCTTTTGAACAATGGACTGTTTCCTTAATGTCAGACCCGGTTCTCCCCTTTTTAGAGCATACAATTTCTGCTTTTATCTTTTCCCCCCTCCCCCATTTCCTTTCTTCTTGTTTTGGAGAGGAAGATATTTTCTTTTTATATATATATGAATAACACTGAACAAGCAGGCATCATTTTATATCAAAGGAATCTTATGCAGACCTGTATAATGGAATAATGTGGCTTGCAAATAGAGACTCATTAATAAAATTTTCAGGCTATTATGGTCCTGTAGCTGGATCCCTTCTCATTATATTCCAGATCTTGTTTTCTTTCTGAACTGTGGAAAGCTTTACATTTAAGTGACAACAAATGGCAATGTAAATGGCTTGCCTCAGCATCAAATATTCTTCCTTCATCTTTGTAAATGTAATATTTGTATAATAATTTAACCAGTTTTAATTATAGATATAATTTTATATCAACCATACAATACTATTGTATTTTGGTATATTATTCATTGGTTGGCAATATATATACTTACATTATAATATCATATAATAATACATCTGAACTGAAACAATCAAACCTCTTCCTAGTTTTACTGCCAATCCATTTTAATAGATAAGATTTTCCGCCAAAATAGAGGGCAGGCACGAAGATACTTACAGAAAAGCATTGTTAAATACTTGCATTAATCTCTGAATTCTGAGGGGGGATGGGCAGAGACTTTTCCTGGTTTGTTTTAATTATATTACGGATAGGAACGGCAGCCAATCCTAAAAGAGAACCTGAACAATTAGCAGCGCGAAGATCAAAAAACGTTTTATGGCTCAGAGCAAAATGCCCCGCCCCGGTCTGCAGCGATTGGGCTAAAGAGCCTCTGACGACATATATTAACCCGAACTGCCCTAAAGATGTAGCTGTACCCGGAGATCAAGCTGGGAAAATCGACCAGTGCGTTGCGCAGCTCCGAGTCTGCTATCTAAGCGTTGTGCTCTGTTTCCTCCTCTCCCTCTTTCTTCCCTCTTTCGAGACCGTCCTTATCACTCTTCTCAGCGGGTTCCACGTCGGAGCAGGAAGACCGCCGGATTTCCTCCCCTCCCCCGAAGACGGACTGGCTGAGTTTTGTATTCCCGGGAGCTGAGTGAGAGGAACTAAAGCCCAAGAGAAGAAGGCTGCTCACACTTTAAGCGAAGGAGGCGCGATTCCCATCCAGGCGGCGGGCCTGGGAAGCAGGGCGGCAGAGGGGAGGGAGACGTGGGGAAATTAGAAAAAAATGCAGGTGTAAAGTAAACCCGCCCGTTCTATTGCTGTTTTGTTGGACAACAACTCGGAAGACGCTAAGGGAGGACCGCCAATCCATTTGGAGAGGGGGGCTGCTTTCCTTACCTATTCTGCAGCGGGCGGGCGCCCCCAAGGTTAAGCCCCCTCTCGCCCCGTATGAGGGCGGCGGTGGGGACTGATCCTGCCCTGTCGGCGCCCGGGGGACTTGGCAGCGCCTGCCCGATGGCGACGAGCTGGTGCTAAGGCGGGGGTCTTCACGGGAGCGGAGATCCAGGGCAGCGGATCCGGGGTGGCGGGCGGCCGCGGAAGGCCGGTGGCGATGAGTTTGGTAGGTGGCTTCCCCCACCACTCGGTGGTTCACCATGACGGCTACCCCTTCGCCGCCGCGGCCGCCGCGGCCGCCGCCGCAGCCGCCGCCAGCCGCTGCAGCCACGAGGAGAACCCCTACTTCCACGGCTGGTTGATCAGCAGCCACCCTTCGGAGATGTCTCCGCCCGACTATAGCATGGCGCTCTCCTACAGCCCCGAGTACGCCAACGGAGCGCCAGGCCTGGAGCATCCCCACCACTACGTGGGCGGCGTGGCTCCCCCTGGTAGTGGCGGCGGGCCGCCGGGCTTGGGGGGCGGCCCCCGACCGGTCAAACGGCGTGGCACGGCCAACCGCAAGGAGCGGCGCAGGACTCAGAGCATCAACAGCGCCTTCGCCGAGCTGCGCGAGTGCATCCCCAACGTCCCGGCCGACACCAAGCTCTCCAAGATCAAGACGCTGCGTTTGGCCACCAGCTACATCGCCTACCTCATGGACCTCCTGGCCAAGGACGACGCCAATGGCGAGGCCGAGGCCTTCAAGGCTGAGATCAAGAAGACCGACCTCAAGGAGGACAAGAGGAAGAAGGAGCTGGTCAGTGTCCCCCGCGGGCCCGGGAGGGAAGGGGGTGGGAAAGGCGAGGCTCACAGGCCAGCAACGCCGAACCCTCTCTGCTTAGGCCAGCCCTTTCCCTTCGGATGGGCGGCTGAAAGACGTTGCTCAGAAGCTTAGCGGACCGCGTTTCTTAGCCGCATCCGGCTAAGTCCGCCCTTAATCGATGGAAATTTAGGGACCAACCGGAGGGCGGGGGACAAGATAATGAGTTTCGGGTAATACAACAAAAGCGCGGGTCGTTTTTTTAGAAAGGCCTCCCCTGTGGACCCAGGAGGAAATGCGTTTGGAATGGGGCTGCGAGGCTTGCTTGAGGCTTGAGGCTTGGGGTCCCCGATCCCAAGCCAAGCTCATGAAGCCAAAACGAGTAGGGAAGAATTTGACCCGGGTCAAGGCTGGCTGTAGGGGACAGAGGCGATGATTTGGGGTTGATTTCCAAATTAAATATTCTCAATTTGAAGTCATTTGTATTTCAAATTTTGTATAAATATTGCATTATATATTTTTTTTTGGAGTTCAGAGCTGGGTAAATGAGAAGCCCGTGGATAGGAGAACATGCCTACCTCAGGTGTGAATTGTATTCCTGTAGCTGATTGGAAATGGTCCTCAGATACAGTCGTATATTCATATATAATAAAACATTCATCTTCCTTTATTCCTAAGGAAAACTTTTTAAAAATGAGAAAGACAGGGAGCATCCAGAGAGCAGCCCCTTCGCTTCCCTGCTGACCAGTTTTGAGGATTTGCTGTGTAACTCTAACACAGGTCCATGGGAGGTGGGGGGAAACAAATATTTATCTAGATTCTAGACAACATCACAACTCATCCTTTAAAATCATTCTTTCAGCTGTATTGACTTCTAGTCTCAAGGCTTTTTAGGACTGCAGACCTGCAAAATTAGGCAAGGATCCACAAATTGGCTAAAGGATTTTATAGAAACTCAATTGGAAGCCAATATCCTTACAACCTTGACCCTGAATGAAACCCCTCGGAATGTTCTCAGCAATGATATGCAGAAGATCTACCAAGAACTCCTTTTTTAAAAAATCACTGGTTTTAGGAAAAGATTATTTCTCTCATTCGTCTCTCCAATGTTGGAAAAATTTCCACTCCAGTTAAAATCCAAGTGTTTAGTTTTTGCTCAGATGTGGGTTGGCTTGGAAAAGATGCTAATTTTAGTTTGAGGATGAAACCTTCAGTTTGCAACCCCCCAGTTACAAGTTTCCTGGCACAATCCACATTTTGACTTCAAATTGTTAATTAAGGCCCAAGACCATCCCCCCCCCAGTTCTATCCTAGAATTTATAGATGTCTCAGGGAAGGAATATAATTTGGGAAGAGGAAGAGAGGATGGGGGACACCCTCTGTTGTTATGCCTGCAATAACAACTGCCTGGCAAACCCAGAGGAGGTGGAATAGTTTGACTCTAAATTTCGGGAGGCATTGCACTTTCAGATTTACCCACCCCCACCCCCACAAGCGCCAGTGAGTATCCTTTGTCACTACATAAACATGCAAACTGCAAATATGTGATGTATTATTGCATTATTTATTATTATTCAACCTGGTAACCTCCAGATAGCTACAAATTTAATCATCCTCAGCAGAAGGCACAACACAGCTGGCAGGCACCATGGGGGGGGGGGGGAAACATGTACAATTGGACATTAACTGAAATCTCCAAAAGTTGCACTTGGCTCACACTGTTTGGTGCTTTCTACTCAATTTCTTTCAGAAAATATCCAAGTCTGGCTGCATTTTTGCTTCCATTCGTATAGTAAACTAAATGGTGGGCTTAGAATTAGAATGGGCACACAACTTTATTTTAAACCAGCTACAGCTTATATATGGTAGCGTATAGAAAGCACTTCCTCTTCTATCAATACTTCCATGTTTCTTGATTTCTTGCAAGCTAAAAGCAACAGAAAAGGCTTGACTGTAAGCAGGTTTCCCCATGTGATCAATCGACAATCTCAGATTATTTTCTTTCATATTTGGGATACTATTTATGGAAATAAACATTGTCAGGTTTTAGGACATGAAAGCTATTAGATGCATCCCTAACCAGACGAGAAGAATTAAGGTTACTGACAAGCCGGACAGTCATTTTGAAGTTGTAGTTTGGGAAAGGGTCAAGATAAAGAAATAAATAAATTCCAAATTGGAATTTCATTTTAAGCAGGCATGCTAATCCATGAAATTGATGGAATATATCCATATATAAACTTACAGCAGCTAGAGCATGCAGTGGATTGGGGCCTCAAAAATTCACATTCACTTAAAAAAATTCACTGGAAAAATTAATGACATTTTGATTGAAATATCTCCCATATAAAATATGTATCCAATTTGGGAGATATATGGTTTAATTTTTCAAAGCTGGAACCTTTTTGAACAGTGTCAAACCTTCTTGTAGGGCTATAGTTAGAATGAAAAATACCGGTCAGTTTAATATTTGCTCTTTAACTGGCATAGGGTGGATTCTGGTGGAAATATATTTCTCTGACTTGCTACCCTCCCAAGGAGAAAAAAAAAACCCTTTAACTGTGATTATATCAATATTTGAGATAGCCTATTTAACAATTAAGCTGGATTTTAGCATGTGTGTATCAGAGACATCAATTTTTCTTGCAGATATGGTGCAGACAATATATAGCTGAATGGCAAAATGATGAATTTGGGGACTGGGCTATGTGTGCATGTGTGTTTTACAGCAAGGTTACTAAGAGGCTTATTCTACACAGTTTTTGCATTTCGTATCAGTACAATCCCAGATTATTTGGCTATACATTTGCAATTAAGAGGACCCCATGATCATCAGAGGCATTTTTTTATTTGGGATTTAAATAAAGATTTTAAATAGGTATGCATGTGTGTGCCCATGATTCACCCAGAAAGGAATGTCAAAATTGTTAAAATATGGATTACATTGCAGTGTTTTGTTCTGATTTGTGATCAGGCTGGTCTGGAAGACGTAAAGCTGAATGGGCATCCCATAAATTCAGAAGGGAGAGTAAGGTTTCTTTGACCGCAGTTCCCTTGCTTTGCACCGAGATGCTTTGAGACCCAGCCGGCTTGCAAAGTAACCCCAGCACGAATCTACAAAGAAGTAAACGTTCGTAGAAATAAACTGGCACTTGCTTCCGACATGTGGATACCATCTACGATTGCAACCTTAATTACTTTATGAACCGCTAGTGCCTGTGAATAAACCGGCTTGTGAAAAATAAAAAACACTGAATCTGATTTTCAGGTTTTCTGTTCTGCAGCCAGGTCTGACGGTCAGTCCCGCAGAACACCCCCCAAAGGGTACGGATGGGAGGTGGTGATCCAGAAATGAGAGGAAGGAAGGATAATGGCTTTGTCTCTTCTCTTGACTCCCCTTTTTCAAACAGAACGAGATCTTGAAAAGCACAGTGAGCAGCAACGACAAGAAAACCAAGGGAAGGACTGGCTGGCCCCAGCACGTTTGGGCTCTGGAGCTCAAGCAGTGAAAGCGGAACGAGCGTGAAGAGTGGAGAACTCGTCCCTTCTGGGACTCTGGACCTTCCAAGCGAGGTTGCTGAGCTGAGGACTTTTTCCTTCTTGCCCTTGTTTTGGAATCCTATGGTTTATTTATGTGCAATTTCCCTCCCCTAGCCTTTCTTCTTAAAAAAAAAAATGTGGATCCTGGAAGAAAAGCATTCCATATTTCAATGAAGTAAATGAAGAGGAAAACTCAAGCGTGGTAAGAAGAAACACGCCGCCGTCCAAATGGTGGTTCCCCCTTCTATCTATCGTGATGAATGCTACCGTTGCTTTGTTTGTATAGAACCCAGGGAACAAAAGGAAATCAAAATCAAAAATGAAGGCATTAGTGTGTAATATGAAGTGTATACCTTTCATACCTGCTCTGTTTTGAATGATTGTGGAGGATAACTCTAACCCAAAGCAGTTGCTTCCCCTGGTTTCCCCCCACCCCCCACCCTCAGGTTTCCTATCTTACCCGAGGTAGGAGTTCAGGATTGTAAGAGTTCTCCCTCCCCTCCCTTCCCCTCCACCCACCAGTGAAGAAAAGAGTGTCTAACAGTTCTTTGTTAATCTGCACTTCAGTCCTAAAAAAAGCAAAGCAAAAATTAAAATTAAGCAAACTACAATCCGTGCTGTTGAATAATTAATATTGAGAGCAAGACTTACATTTTATAACCTGAAAGGCTTTAAAACCAAACTCAAAATTCTTTAAAAAAAATCTCTAGAAGTTAACCAATTACTTTAGGTTAAAGTAAACCTAAAAATACAATTCGATTATGAAGACAATATATAAAAATCTTCACAGCCAAGTAAAGGTACTTAAGAACAGTTTGCAGTTTTGTCTAGTTGTTTTTTAAAACAAGTTTAAACAAGTTGTCTAGTTGTTTTTATTTGGGAAAAGAACGGAGGTTCCATAGGCGGTTTGGAAACTGAAGGGCCAACAGAAATTCCAAAGGCGGGACACGTTTATTCAATTGTTATGATTTTGACATTCTGGCTCGGAGCAGGTTTTTCTCAAAGGGACGTTCCTTTGTGATCAAAAGAGAGAAGACTTCTTAGCCTTTCATTTATGTAAGAGTCGATATGGAAAAAGGAACGGCAGTACCCAGTTTTCCTTTGCTTTCAGGGGAAGAAGAGAGGGATAGAGTCCGTTTACTTTTGTACTCTGATTTTTATTGATGGACTAATAATTTACCACGGCCTTCGAAAGGTGTTTGTTGTGAAAGAGGGAGGACACCAAAGACGGAAGCTAATCTGGGTCTGTCTTTCACACTTATCAGAATGAGGGCTCCCCCCCCCCCCCCCCCCCCCCCCCCACACACACACTGGCTTTGCTGCTTGGCGCGGGCCTTCCAGCTTGCAAGGCGTCGTTTGGAGCGGTTTCTGACGGCAAATCACCGAGAGGCTTTGACTGGGGGAGGCCAACGCAGAGTTTAGCCGGTCGGTTGGCCTGGTTACATAGCACTTTAGGCATCTGGAAAATGTGTGTGAGTGCCATTTACCATGTGAATGACTTTCTCCTTACTTTGCGATATCCCCGAGCGAACATTTTCCAAGACCTTTTCATTTTTATTTTTTAACTCTACAAAAAAAATGCTCTGGCAAAAGGCTGGCGAATTAGAATTGGCTTGTTTGCATAGGAAGAGGGAAGGGAGAGGGGGGCTTGCGATGCGGGGCGATGGTGGCACTTGGAACCACACCGGAGAAAAAAGGCGCCGGACTTGGCTGCCACGTCTTCCTCTCGCGCCTTAAAAACGACCGAGGGCCCGGTCCTTGCTTGGGGCGAGGGCACGCCATATTTTATAAAGGCAATTGGTCGGACACCTGGGACAATACGAATGCCCCCCGGCCGTCCCTCTTAATCATGGCCCCGGTTCCGAAAACCAACAAAATAGAACCGGAGTCCTATTCCATTATTCCTAGCTGGAGTATTCCGGCGCATTGTCGATCCAGCAATCATAATAACTATACAAATTTTAGGTTGAGGCAATAAGATCTAAGAGCCACTTATCCGGAAGCGGGGGGGGGGGATTAAGACCGCTTGCTTGACCGCTCTTTGTTAGGGACTAAGTGACGAGAGCTTTTCGCTTTTCTTTTTCTCTTGCTCCTTTTTCTGCATCTGTACCCCTCGGCAAAGCACGGGAACCTCTGCACGTTGGCTCTGCTCCAGATCCAAAGAGAAAGGCATATATGTCAGTTATAGTAGAAATACCAAGAAGTTTTCCAATGTACCTCGACCACTGCTTGCTCCTCTCCTTTTTCAGTGGCTTGCCCCATTCACGTTCCCGAGGCCCAGCGGCGGCTGTCCGATGCCCCCTCCCAAAAGATCAGCAGCAGTTGTTTTGCCTCGTTGGCCAGGCCTCGCTGACTACAGGTTGCGAGGTTAGAACAACCGACCAGAATGATGTGCCCTCTTCTAGCATTGGGGTCAGACTCCTTGGACTGGCTGGCGCACTTGCTTTCGAGAAAACGCCCTTCTCCTTTAAAAAAAGGAAAAAAACCACTGCTACTGCAGCTGAAGTTGGATCCCACATTGCCCCCCCCCCCGCCGCCGCATCCTTCCCAGGATTTGTCCTGGGCGTTAATTTTCAGGTCACCAAAATTTCGGGTCAGCCCTTCCCCGCCTGGAGAATTTTTACTCTCCCGGCACAATCGCTTGTAATCAATAAACGATGATTTCACAACCTCTAAACACAATTTTTCACACTGGACTTTTTTTTAAAAAAAACAAACACCAGATCTTGCTGTCAGTCAGATGCCCCGAATTCTGGGGCCGCCGGTATTTTTCTTTTAAAATCTTTCCCACTTTAATTAAGGGAAGAAAGGTATTGTCTCCGCCGAGTCACTCTTATTTCTTAACACTTCTAATTCCCGGGCAGTAGGGAGAACTCTAATCTGCGTCTGGTTAATTTATAGAAGTTATCTGAGGAAGGCAGTCTTCTTCTCACGCCAGTGTTCGCAGCTCAGACGAAGCATGAAGGACAATTAGGAAGAAGTTATTTCCAAGAACTCAGAGAAACGATAAATATTGCGGCCTTTTGGCCGGACTCTCTTATGGACCCACCGTCTACCTATCTGGGAGTGAACGGGCGCGCATGCATTCAGGCAACGCGAAATGAAAGCTGCGAGTGAGCAGGCAGGATCCAGCCCCCCTAGTCGGCAGTTTTCCAAAGTGCGTTCAGTTCAGGTTTATTCGGATATAGTTATTGGGGGAATTCATCGCAAAGGCCTGGGCTGGACAATACTACCCCGAGGTGCCCGATTCGTTAATCAGAGTTCAAAAGCATATGGTTAAAACATACGTGGATTACACTAACCAGAACCAACATTTCCTTCTCAGATGGCAACACCGCAATATGCTGATAAGCGTTCGTGGATTTCAAAGCTCATTTCAGGCAATGAGATTTCAAACCTAGGAGCCCAAGATCGAGGGCATAAATATAATAGAAGATATCCGTCAGTGACTGGAAAGCTTTCCTTCCTTCGCCGCAAAAATGATTTCTAGACTTTGGGCTTAAAATGGCCCCTTTCGGTCAGCTGGCGGTCCCAGGAAAAGGCGACGGCGGGCGACGAAGTGCCTAGAGAGGGAAGCGGAGGGAAGGGCTTTTTAAATTGCTCGCTAATGGGGCCGTTGCTGTTTTCTCAGGGGCAATCATTCCTGGAGCTAAATCGCCAGAGCCCTAGACAGGCCGGAGCCGACAAAAATGTAGCTTTTGACGTTAAAGGCTAAATGGGGAAGCGGGGCGGTGGGAAGGTGAATTGATGGCCGATTGGGATGTCAGGAGCCCTGGCCCGAGATCGCTGGGTTGGAGCGGCGGGCCTGATAAGGTCCTGGTCAGAGTACGTGGCCCTTTCGGGCAGCGACTGGCGGGGACGTAGGGCGGGTCTGGCAGAAAGCAAGAGGCTTCGCCCGGCCAGCTCTCTCGTCTTCCCTCCTCCCCCCCCCCTCCTCCTCCTCTTCTGCAAAGTTCCCGCGAAGGTCAAGCTTGAACGCTCTTCTCCCTCGCCTTTTGCGTGCGCGCAGATCGATCGAGACCAGAACTACTCTGAGATGAGCCTCGCCAAACTTCCTCCTTTTTTCACCTTCAGGCTGGGCGAAAAATGGCTTAAAAGGTGCGGCAAAAGTCTCTTAGGTAATCGGAGGAGAAAATTAACGAAAGAGCTTCGTGAAAAAGGCGCTAGTGCAACTGTTTTAAAAATAAAAAGCCTCCCCCCCCCCCCGGAAAAGTCGCAGGGCTTGGAGTGAAGCGGATGCAGTCCGAAAACGCTCCTGCCCTTGCGCGGCTTCTTGGGTGTCGGTTGCAGCCGAAGGAGGCAATACTGGTTGCCCGGGGCTTTGGGGCTATTTTCCTCTTTCTTAGAAAGGGCTCCGTTTCAAGGGAGGAAAGTTCCAGCCGGAAACCGGAATCAAGCTGGCTAGGAGCTCTGTACCATCCATTGGGTCTACTTAAGCCCATGGAAGACAACTAGCCTCAAGTCAGTTTTGAGACAGTTCGTATCCCATGGATGATTAGAGGTAAACTCTAAATAGGGATCAATCTGGATTGCAAGCCCACAATTTCTAAAAAAAAACAAACCCAAAAACAAATCATAAGCAGCTCACACTTGAAAAAAAACCATAAAATATACAAAAGAAAATTCGTAAGAATACTGTATTCCCTTTACATTTAGATAAATCTAATGTTTTTTCTTCCCTTATAAAAAGAGCAATACTGTATGTCTTGTGGCATCTTGAAGCTGAACATGCAAGCAAGCTTCCATAGGCTGTACCAAGATTCTTAGTTGCAGAAAAAATAAAAGCAAATCCATTGCTCCATTTTTCTGGATATTCTATACTGCACATTACAACCGCAATACAAAAAATGTTTGTCTCAGTGAACTGAATGGAATTACTTCTAAATAATAGTTGCATAGGACTCTGTTGTCAACCCCTCATTGCAACTCTGTAAGTGTTTGGTGGTCCCTGAGTTTGCTTGAGATTAGA